GCCCCAGCACCCGGCTGCCCCGCTGCCGAGGGAAGGAGAGGTCTCCTCACGTAGAAGGGTTGTCCCCAGCGCAAACGCCGCTGGAAACACGCGTGGGACAGACAGAGCGGACCCGGGCCCCGCAAACTTCCCCCCGCTGCAAATCCCAAATCCTCGCTGAACCCTCACCGCTTTCCCTGGTTCCTGCCCTGTCCCAGGGCAGCGGTGCTGTGCTCTGAGGCAAAAGAAAACCCTTCCGAACGCGGCCGTTCATTGACAAAGTCCGGTATTTTTCTAGGAAGTTCGGTATTATGATTTATTTATTTTTTTTCTACAGAAACTAACACTAATAATACAACCGATGCCTGTGCTCTCTGGGGAAGCCGAGCAGCGGCGGAGGGGGCGCAGTGTCCGCCCCTCTCCGCGGGTTCCCGGACCTGCCGCCCGCTGATCTCCCCGCATCACCCCCCGTCCTTCCTCCTCGCAACTCGCTCCGTTGCCGCTCCGCTGCCCTGCACCCCGGGCTTTTGCCGCGGAAGTTGGCCTGGGTTTTGCCTCCCCAGATACAGGACCGGGCAGGGTTTGCACATATAATAAAACAAAACACGGTGCATCCCAGCGAGACAAGCTACTCGCCCTCCCTAAGGCGATGTCAACCCCCGGGGAGGCTCGAGGAGGACCCTCCAACACAGCTTTGGAGGGGCGGGCGGGCGGGCTGTTGCTGCCCGCCCCGTCGGGAGCTGCGCAGAGCTCCGCGGAGGGCAACGAAGCCCACCGGGCCGTGCCGAACCTGCAAACACCCCGGCCGGAGCACAGCTAAAGGCCGCGGATCTGGCCCAGAGAACAGGCAACCCAGCTACAACGCAGTATAGGTACCAGAACACAATTCCATAAGCAACCTAAGGCAGCCCGACAACCCTCTAGGACCCCGTCCCAGCCCCCTGCACATCACTTCGTGAACAACAACCGGCTGAGCACGCAGGTAAAGCTCGGCTGGAGAGCTCTGTCTCCGAAGCAGACACACAGCCCGCTGCCAGCACCTCGCTGGCGATAGGAAACTACTCCCGATTCCTGGCTCTAGGCGAGTCCATACACAAAACACCCACAGCCCCGGTACGCTGCAGTCTCACACAGGAACCACCACAGAGCACGAGTTTTCACGTTCCCTGCAGATGATATTTGAATGTCCGCTTAATCCTACTGTGTCATATTTCAGGGATATGCAGAAGAACACAGACATACAGACATAGATGAATATTTATGCCATAGGTATAGCATAGGAATTGTTTGGTCCCCGCAGTGCTCTGGCTTATTGGTCGTCTTCAGACTGCTGCTGTATCATACCCAGCCGAAATGCCTCCGTGGTGAGATATATTTTGCAATTAAAAGCTTTTTGCACCTGCACTGATTGTTTCTTCCCCAGGGCAGGGATCTGCCCCGGGAGGAGTGATGCATTTGAATCAATATACCGAGCAGTTGGCATATTTTGCCCTTCAAATCTGTTCAGGGGATCAGGGGAACGTTTCCATGCGTTTTCCTGGATGCTGAAGGGAACAGCATCCCAGCAGCAGTCTGAGGGCACCTCCACCGGACAGGGACAGCCAGCCACGCCAATAAAAGTGACAAGTTCTCTCCTCCTTCCTCCCTTGCACACACGCCACGCCTGTCCCTCTGTGCCCAGCACAGGCAGCTCCTGGGGGCTCCGGGGAGCGGGGCGGGGGGGGAGATGACCGACCTGGGGCTTAAGGAGAGTCTCAAAACCACTAATTGCTGCCACGAAGAAAGAG